CGGTGGAGTATCTACGGAGTATCTAAGTGTGTCTCATTTGAAGCTGATCAATGGCTTGCAGATACCATCCTCTTCATGTCACATTACCATCTCTATAGGAGCTGTGATGGAGAGTTGGGGGGTGCAGCGGGGATGTGGTGGGGGGGGGGGGACTGGAAAAACCAAATGATGAATGAGTGATGGAAATGGGAAGGCATGACATGGACAGGAGGAGGAGGACATGACAGGATGGAGGTGGATTGGAGAAGGGACAAGTGTGTGTGTGTGTGTGTGTGTGTGTGTGTGGAGGGGGTGGAAGGTGGGAAGAGAGGGGAGAGATAATTTCCTCTGAGGAGTGTGCAGGGGATGGGGGTGGCTTTGAGAAGGGGGAGGGGGTCTAATGGCTTTGGGTGCTGCCTCTATTAGGCCAGGCACCCACTAGATGACAGAATAAGAAGTCCTGAGATGATTTGTCAGGATCTGTATGTTAGCAGGGTCATTAATTTGTCACTATTAGCTGCTCCGCCAGATTTTATACTGACATAAAAGAGGAGGGGGACAGAGAATATTAGATTATATGTGTAATCTATGACACATAGATCTTGCCTAAAGCTGCTATGGTTGATATTTCTATTAGAACAATGTATCAAATGATAATGTGAGAACAAAAGGGTGGCTCAAAGTGGCAAAACCACAGAAAATAATTGCCTGGCTCTGCAGTTCCTTTCAACTCTACAGTTTTTTTGTTTCTTTAAGATGCTTGTTTGGTTTTTTGGCCTGCAACTTAACTGTTTTGGTTCTTTCTCATCGCTTGTAATGTTGATTTTGGCCACAGCAGACAGCTGCTTTCAGCACACAAAAAATCCCAAAAAATCTACTATATACACTAAATGCCATACCATACCTTCATACCTTCTTGACATATTTGACTGGGGTATATGCTTTATGGCAGTATTTGTGTAGGGAGTTGTGATGAGTGGCGAGCTTGCTACATTCCACGGCCTGTTTTTGCATTTTTTAGACTCAAAATTCACAAAATTTCAGGAAGGGAAATATTCTTACACCTATTCTCCCTTTCATCCCACTCGACTAGCTTAATTGCTTTATTGACCCATTGTGACCCATCACACTTCAAACAAAAAAACCCCACACCAAAACCATCTTGGGTATTTTTTCCACTGTTTCAACAATCACCCACTCTGGCTTAGTCTAAATAAATCTTTGATTCAGAGTTGGATGTGAAAATATTCAGTATTTCCCTGCTTTCTCTCCCTGTCGTTGCTGGCCAGCTTTTTACTCATCCTATAACGTTATCCCCACCACTTACAGTCTAGATCTTTCTCAGCTCAGCTGCCTGTTCCACCAGTGCAGACTGACCTCTGGTGGTATGTGCTGTGTACTACAATACATTGTCTCAATACAGCATCTCTTTATCAGCTTAGTAGATAGAGTATTTTGTATTTGGGAGGATATTAATAATCATCACATTGGGATTTCTAAATACCCTGGTTTACTGTAATATCTGTGTTGCCAACTTGGTGACTTTTATGCTATATTTAGTGACTTTAAAGACTCAACAAATCTATTTCTAAAAGTGAGAGACCATTAGAGAAAAAGAGAGAAATGCATTGTAATTCATTCCCATGTGTGCTATACGCAGAGTAATTGCAGTCCACAGCTCATCCACCATTAGCCCTGGGTTTTCCCTTCTTGCTCCTCTTGCGTCATGCAGTAGGTGTAGGACAGGCAGGAGGAGAGGAGACCTTCGCCGTGGGAGTTCAGGTGTAGTGAGTTTCTATGGTCACACTGACGCCCTCACTCTCTGGATAGGAAGCTTGAGAATATGGTACTCTGTAGTACAAGCCCCAGAGCTCCCATGTCATACAAACAAAAGGATTTTCCTATTGAATCTAATTCAGCAAAGAGCTAGTGCTAGCTACTTTCACACACAGTCAGAAACTAGCTGGTGAACATAGTGGAGCATTTAGTGGCTAAAGAGACGGATATTTCCCTCAGGAGATGGTGGAGAACAAAAACAGAGCAATAACAGAGTGAACATTGGACCCACATTCACTAAGTCGTCACAAACACAACTCCAAATAAATGCTAAAAGTTTGTCATATTAACTTAGAAGGTCAATGCTGGTTTGCAAACGTATCATAAAAGTCACTATTACGTCAAAATCTATGACATTCATACACAGTGTGGGTAATGCTAGTCAGTCAGTTTATATAGTGCCACACTAATTCAACTTATATCTAATTTTACATTCCAACTACATGGGGTATGGTAATTCTGTTGTTTCACTGTAGTTTGCATAAAGTTTCTGATAAACTTGAAACAGACAGGGCTGTTACAGCAGAGAGGATTGATACCACTGTCATGTTAATGTGCTAATGAGGCTACAGCTATCTTAGCTTAGCAAAAAGATTGGAAGCAAGGGGAAACAGTGAGTAGGGATCTGTCCAAAGGTAACAAAACCCACTGACAAACATTTATAAATGCACTTATTAACCCCTTATGTCACTTTTTAGTACATAAGCAGTAATGTAAAAGCTCTTATCAAAGTCTCAAAAAGAAAGTGAATAAGTACATTTCCCAAAATGTTGAACTATTCCTTTAAAAAAAAATCCCATAGGTTCTCTTCTTGATTCGTCATCTTGTTCAGTGAAATCTCAGCGATATAGGCTATACACTGTTCAGCACACACGAATGACAAGACTTGATAAAAAAGGTCACTGCAAGACAGAAATCCCCTCTGCCCTCAAATAACCTGATGATCAAAATGTCAGATGGTTTGACAATCAATAAAGCTGGCTAGCCATGGCAAAAGTCTCCATCCCTTTCTCTCTGTCTGTGTGGAGAAAGAAAAGGAAACACTGCATCATTGTGGCAATGTTTTTTTATTAACATATTTTGAACGTGTGACCTCTGACCTCCCTGTATTAAAGGAAGGGGGCAAGCATGACCTTTACAGAGATCGTTACAAAATTAGAAATCAACTTAATGCAGCATCTGTTGTATTCTGTACGCAGATCAGTGTTGTCTGTGTTTGTGCTCTCAGAGCTGCTCTCCAGCACAAGTACACACTTATTTAGACTCAATTACAGACAGGACTTAATGAATGCTGGAGCAATCATATGTGTGTGCGAGTGTGTGTGTGTGTGTGTGTGTGTGTGCACTCAAAGAGAAAGCAAGAGAAGGGACAGAATGAACAGCGGTGCAGCACACTGGGAGCACCAACAAGAGTTCTGCACGCTAATAAAGCCCCTGCTTGAATTAATGACATTTAAATCCCAAAGAACAACACAGCAATGTCACAGAAACTTTATACCCTCAGCAGCAGTCACATTGTGTCCTGGTACCAGGTTCAACCCGGGAGTTATTGGTCTTACGTTGCCATCTAGTGGGCAATTACAGAACACAATAAACCTTTCTTTTCTCATGTCTTTGAACTGAATCCTCAGGTCATATGAGAAATGAAGAGGCAGATTGATGCTCTCTGTTATATTCCTCTGGTTCTTATTCTGCATGTTCAATCTTGGTGCGAATATCCACAGTATCTTACAAACGCTACAGCAGAGTTAAGTATAAATTCAGATATAACAAAAGAGAATGAAAAGGATAGAAAAATTTGCAGCCAGTGGCATAAGGCAGTTACAATGGGCCCCAATGCACGCTATTATGACGAGCCCTGAAGCACGCTAGAACTGGTTATGCACCTAAACTAGCTATTGTCTTATCGTCACATTATTAAATAGAGACTTGATGTTGGCTAACACCAACATACACATTCCCCAGAAATCATCATCGCATATATGACAAAAATACCAACAGAAATAAGGGATTATTCATTTAATTGTATGTTTAATGCTCAGTAGTCCGTGTCCTAAGTTAGTAGTTGTTATGTGTTTGTTGCCTTTATTTTGTTATGCCGGTGAACCAAGAAGTGCTTTTATTTTGGAGAGACTGTAGACAGAAAAAGATGGAAACTGACGAAAGGTACACAGTGCAGTAACGTTAGTAAGACGGAGATTTAAAAAAAACCCACACACACAGAAAATATACAAATGGGGTGAGTTTAACTGTGTTTAGCATCAGTCAAGAGGGCAACAAAGTATTTTCTGCATTTCTTTGTGTCTAATTGTCAAATCCTTTTGAGTTTTGGTATATTGCTAACTTCATGAGCTAAGTTTAATGCATTGATATGTCTTTTGTTTTACTTAGTTTCTGTTCAGCTTTTTAATTGAGAACGGAATAAACTGCCTTCAACCATCAGTCCAGACTTGTTTTATTTGGACTGGGACGCTACGATTTATTTATAGTTCATAGAGAGTAGGCATATGTTTTATAACATATAACATGACTGAGATGGGTTTGCCTTTTCAAAGGCACACATAGCGAACAGCAAATGCAGTTTTTCCTTGAACACAGGCACATTTCTAAGGTAGCAATCTACTCACAAGGGCTTTTGTATCTACCCAACATATAGTCGAAGAGTCCACTCTCTCTATGGGCCACCTCACTCATGGGCCCCAAGACAACCACCCTGCCTGCACTGTCCATACATATGCCACTGTTTGCAGCCACTATTCTCTACTAGGCATGAAAGTACCTTCTTTTAAAAGTAAGGCAGGAAACAATGCCTCTCAGTGACACACTGTTGATGCAAATCACAAGTTATGCCTTGGCCTGTTCATTCACTAAAACCTCACAGAAATGAACAAGATTTGCTAATTTCACAATTAAAGCAAAAGTCACACATTTAGCTACTGACCTCTGAGAACATAGCACTGGTTTCAGTGTAACATGGCAGAGAGTTTAAAGAAAACCCTGAGATAGTTTGAAGGTGAGTGTCAACAACAGTTGGTCTCTTTCTTGAAAAGGACACACGTACACAGCTTTTCTGTAATGAAACTAGCTGCTGCCTGAAGGCCTAGCCTAGGCCTGTGGTGGCTAGTCTTTGTTGTTATTTGCGTAAGGAAGCCATTTAAACATGCAGTGTCATTATCAGGACTCACCTGTGGATGTAAATATCTTGTCCAGCAGCCTTGTGAGCGGTGTCAGCTGTCAGTCGCAGTCAGAAAGTTGCTCTTCACATATTATTACTATGGCGTCCTGAAGGTGCTGTCAACTTGATGCACGTGCGCTTTGCTATGGCACAAGCACGTGCGTAATAGCGTTTTTTTCGAATCGCGCGCGTGCTTGAGCGCGTCCGAAAGTCGTCCTGCCCAACTGCATATAAATGCTCAATCTGCTGTTATCAAGTGTGGATTTTGATGCGCTTGTATTCACGCTGTTACGGTACTGCTATTTTACATCAGAATGATTCTGAGTTCACAGTTGTTTTACGACAGTTTAAAAATTATGTATGAACACTTGAACATTCCTGGGTTTTTTGGGTTTTTTTTCAAAACATTTTTAAAAACTTTTTTAACTGTAATAAGATTTAAATGGAATATTAAAGCTCCAGTGTGTAGGATATAGGAGTATTTATTACTTTTTCATCACCTTAGAATGAGACATAAACCCGGAACTGCGTTAGCATTTTAGCACTCCTGGTTCCCTCGTCTCAAAGTCAGTAGGTTTTTTGAACAGGTTTTTGGTTAGATAATGCCTGTGGTTGACAAAAGCTAAACGACTGTCAAATTTTGTTCTGTTACGGGTGTGAATTCTGAAGCTAACAAGTAGCGAAATGAGACTACAGAGCGTAATCAATCACACATGAAAACCTCATTGTGGTGGCAATGTTGATGTCATGCGCCCGTGGTGTAGTTCGTTTACAGCCTAACGTCAGCTTCTTACTTCTGGTGACTGCATTTACACTTTAAAAATCGTAACAGTGGTGTTCATTTGTGACGATTATTTTGCTGAACAAAATATGCAAGTACCACAGAGCTTTTTTCTGAAACAATCCAGTGTGAAAATCCCACAGGCTTTTTGATGAGGGAACCAGGGCGATGCTAACTTCTATATTGGCCTACAAATCCACGTCATCCTTGAAGCACTCTATGTCTACATACAGAGCTGGTCCTCTTCCACGGAGTCCGCCATGTTGTTCTACAGTAGCCCAGAGCGGACAAACCAAACACTGGCTCGAGATAGGACCATTTGTGTTTTCACGTTAGCCACTGTAGTTCTACACACTTGGGAGAAATTTTAGTTCTGCAACCTCACAGCTAGATACTACTAAACACTACACACTAGACCTTTACCTAGTCTGTATAAAAAATATTATCTTAACTATATTTAACATAAATCTTTAGCCTGTGCTTTTTACCTTATTGTCAAATCATGTCTCTGCTCCTCAGTGAACTCGTCTGTGTGTTTGAGCTTGGACTGTAACAGCAGTTACAAAAGTTTACCAGTTTCCTTGCATGGTTCCAACACGGCAGATAACAGTGGCCCCTCAAAGCAACCCAACAGGCTCCAGTAGTGCAATTGTTCAGCGTGCAGCAGGCTAGATAGCATTCAGCTGACTTATGCTGAGGTTGTAATTTCAAGCCTCACCTAGAGCAGAGTAGTTTATCTTTCTGGACGTATCCTCAGTGAGCAGGCACCACATGGACATTTAAAAATAATGAGCTGAACTCCTGCTGAACCGTCTTGTTTTGTTTATTGTCAGGTAGCTAAAACGCCACCACAATGAATAAAAACACAACTTCACCTCAATAACAGCTATTCACAATGGAGCAGATTAACATACAAGTGCGTTCTTTACAGATGTAACACTGGGCGAATATAAAAAAAACAATCCATTGATGACTGAAGTGCTTTAAAGGCTGTGTTGGAAACTAATGTTTCCAGTGTGGTAAAAAAACAAAAAACAAAGTGGCATTTCAGCCACTAAATACTGAAGTAAGACCATATATATTATATGAGTGTGTCAGATTGTGTGATGCAGTTTCTACAGCGATTGAGGAACAAGATCCAAAACGTCAGAAACTACTGACACAAACTCATACATGGCACAAAAAGACATCCCGTGGTTTTGTGTCAATAAGGCACATTTTACAGTCTCATTTATTGGCGAGTTTGAACTCTAAAGACATCCAGTAAAAAAGTACAAAACAAACATCCTCCGCTCAGCCACTGCAGCTTCTTCAGGTTGTACTGTTCCTTTTGGCCACTGAGCGGCACTGTTAAGTTACCACACAGGAGAGGTAAATCATTTGGCAGGAACAATTGTCTATGTAACTCGCCTCCAGTGTGACTGCTCATTGATTAGCCCAGCTAGAGATCAGTCACACACAAAATAATGGTTAGTCCTTTTCAGTCAGCTTTACATTGATAGTTGGGTTCCCATGCGTGTGAAAATTTTTAAATGCCTGAAGGCTCACATGCTCAGCCTTTACTCTTAATGGGTCTGTTGAACTTTTCCAAACAGTGAAACAAATACATCCACATGAAATCCTGAAATTCTGGTCATTATTCCAGGAAAATGTCACAAGCTGCTCCATAGCCAACATTAATGACCAGTTCAGCCTCAGTGCACATCCAGAAACAGTCGAGGTGACATTTATTTCAGGGGCTGATGTTCAGAGGAGGTGTGCGTTCAGGTCGTACTTCTCACAGAATTTGTCCGTGATCGGGATGCAGGTGAGGTACTCGCACCAGTCGCACTTCACCGGGTAGACGTAGAAGAGGACGGCCAGGGCGGAGAGCAGACCTAGGAAGACCAGCAGGAAGACGCAGATCTGGATACGCTTCCGGTACATGTCGGATTGGCCAAAGCTGGGGAGGAAAAACCTGCGTTACTCATCTCATAATGGAGGGCAAGTCACATAGAATATACCAGATTAACTTTATTCAGTCTCTCAAGGATTTTGCCAGCTGTTTCTGGGATTGTTGCAGCTTGCCTTTCACAGCAGGTATTCTAAAAAAAAAACTGCGATGCATGTTGCAATAGTTAAGGCCTTTTTTGTGTGAGCAAGTTAAAATTGCAAAAATAGTAGCAAAGCTGTTTCTGATTCAGATCCCACTGTTATGAGTAGTCAGTGTTTCCCACAGAATTAGAAACTGTTTGTGATAGTGGTGGTGGGGTGGTAGCGCTTAAGGACTGTCTGAACTGACCACTTTCATTACCTCATTAGCACAAGCTAACACAGCAGCAGTGGTTAACATCCAACAGTGAGCCGTTAAACGGTCTGAACACACTCACACCGACATCCAAACAGCCAAACTCTGATATTTAACCTGTTAATAACCATGAACCAAGTGATGCTAACAGTTAGCCATGTCACTGTGCGTGTGATTCTGTTTCAGGCACAGCAGCAACATGATAAACTTAAGGGGAGAGCAGGGCAAGGAGGGGCTGAATGTATTAATACGCTGCATGCAGCTTTACACCGCAAAGCTTCAGTGCTGGGCTACACCTGGGGGACATTGAGATCACACTGTCTTGGTGGCCAGTTATTCCACTGAGAACAAGCACTGAGACAGTGAAATGCAGTTTTAGTGAAGAAAGTTTTGGGCTCGTCCGGGATTTGAACCCGGGACCACTCGCACCCGAAGCGAGAATCATACCCCTAGACCAACGAGCCACATGCAACAATGCAAAAACTGTGATATAGGATTGTACATATTGCAGAAAATCTGCCTTTCCAATACTTTAAGTATAATGTCAGACACATGCACACACATGATTTTCATGTTCATCCTGGAGAGTTGACCTTTAGAGTGCCAGGCTTTATCCACTGACTTGGACTGGAATAACTTAGACATTGCTCTCAGATGGGGGTCACCACAGCATCAATATTGCTAATGAATTATTGTATGTTTGCACTGATTAAACCTGATGTAGATTTTTCCCATTTTCACTGTTTTCCTTTACAGGAAATAAATTGTGTTGATTATTCTAACATTAGACACCCCTTTCAGCAATATAAGTTCATCATAAATAAAGTTTGTTATGCTGAGTTTTTCGGCTTATTGGCCTACTTGCCAAGAGTTATATGAGGATATCAATGCTATCCTCATATATGATCATAAAATACGAAGCTGCAGCCAGGATATAGTTCGCTGAGCTGAGTATAAAGCCTGGAGGAAGCATAAAACACCTCATCCAAGGGGTAGAAAAGTTTGAGCTTTAAAGGTACCGGCAGACAGATTTTTCTTTCTTCAGACTGAACCAGCCTCTTGTTTCCACTCTAAATACTACACCAACCAGCAGCTTGCTCTAGTTCATACCATACAGATGTTAGAGCGGCACTGATCTCTCTCTCTCTCTATGTTTTAGGGACACACATCTCTGTCTTCACCTACCTGATGTATGGCAGGAAGGCAAAGGACAGGAAGAATCCTGACACAAAACCGCAGACGTGGGCAAAGTTGTCAATCCACGGAAGTAAACCAAAGGAGAAGAAGAAAACCGAGATGGCCAGCAGCTTGGCGAAAGCCCGCCAGGGTCGCTCGAGGATCTGCCAGCTCTGAAACAGCTCCACGAACAGACAGGCCAGGATGCCAAACTGGCTGCCTGCAGGGCCCACCTGAGATAGAGTTCACTGGTCAATTAAGAAATTTAACTTGTAGCATCTTTTATACAGCTGTATGTGAGGGTGAAACTGTACCTCTGCTCTGTAAGGCAGGAAGATGGCTGAGGCCAAGTTGCCAGTGATGCCGCTGAGCATGTAGATGATGGAGATTCTCAGCCAGCCAGCCAGCTTCTCTAAGTCCCTCAGCACCGTCATCTGGAAGAACACTGACACCAGGCAGTGCAGGATCCTACAGACACAAACAGGACAGACCAAATCCACCTGGTGTCTTATAATTTATCACTAATACAGCACTTCTAGTTTCACATAAAACATCACTCTTAGTGCTGCTGGGGCCTATCATCAGATGAATGTAAAAAAAGAAGAGTTCAGTCACCCAGCATGAAGAAAGAGAGACAGCCAGAGTCGAGAGAACTGGTCTGGGATCTCCGGGTTGAGGAAAGGCAGCAAACCACACACGTCATCCATACAAGCCACCTGGAAGAGAGAGAGGCAGTCAGTCAGCCTGAAGATCCACTGCCACCCTGTGGAGGAAAATGAGAGTGTTGAATTCAGTCCAAAATCCTTTCATTTCCCAGCCAACAACAGTTGCTCCAGTGGCGCAATCGGTCAGCGCGCGGTACTTATAAGACAGTCACCTGCAGAGCAATGCCGAGGTTGTGAGTTCGAGCCTCACCTGGAGCAGCGAAGTTTTAAATTCAAAAGTCTGAGGGCATCTCAGATACATTCTGAAATACTGATTAGGGCATAAAAAGCCTTCACCATTAGCAAATATAGCAGCTGTTGTGTCAAGTAGGTGAATCATAAGCAGACTGTTCTGTGTGTCCTACCTGTGAGCAGAGAGTAGCCTCCTCGTGGAAGTAGCCATGCATGAAATCACAGTATTCTCTGGAAGTGATCTCACATCTACAACATAAAACACCTCGTTGAATTAATCAGCTCACACTCCAAAAAAAAAACAACAAAATGTCAGGATTGTAAAACGAGATAAATACATCTTTGTTTTTGTGTTAAATTAATGTGATAAAGTGTTCCAGTATCAATCCTGGTCACATAGACACTGTCTGTTGGTCCTGCAATTATATCATTTCTTTAATCATGCAGAAAAAAAAATCTACACTAGCTCTGTACGAGTCTACTCCTGTGGTGTTCAATGACGTCGACTCTCACCGTCCTTTGGTTCCAATGCAGCAGGGCCGGCCTGTGATGGTGCAGTCTATGTGGGGGAGGTTGGTGTGATTCCCAGAGTTGTACCGTGTACAAACCTACAGATCATAAGCGACGAAACATTACATCAAGCTATTTAGTCGTTATATTCAAGGTGAAAGTGCTGCATTCAGTCGGCCCTTTTTTATGTTTAAGACAATGGCTAACAAGGAAAGGATAAACCTAAGAAGTAAATGTACTCACTGGCCACTTGGTGATGTCATCAGGCCACTCGTGAGGCGAAACTGAGGCCGGCTCTAGACAGATTCTACAAAACCAAGAGCAAAACTTAAAAAATAACCAGGTGAACACTCGTCTACTGTAAGAGCGACTAAGCCCCAGGAGTGCTTACCTGGGGTCCTGATGGCAGACTGCACCATGCTGGCGGAGTGTACCATTCAGAGTGGGAGCGCTGGGGTGCTGAGGCCACTTCACCCACACTGCCAGGGTGCTCTGCAGTAGAAGACAGACAGAGGGAGAGAAATCATCAACATTTTTCTATTAATCAATCTTTGTTTGTGCAGTGGTGAGTGCAACTAAATGGTGAAACAGGAGATGCCTAAAGGTGTCCCATGTAACGCTTCTGTTCAATATATCTCGTTTTAACATCCTATATCATCCCATACACAGACGGCGGGGTTGCTTTCACTGACCGAACACTCCTCCTGTAGAGTCTGCAGGCAGCCGGAGCGATCGTTCCTCACGCAGCAGCCTGACTCCCTCTCCCTCGCTCTCTTCTCCTGGATCAGTTTGTGGATCTCTTCGTCTTGGCGCATGCACGGGGAAAACTTGGCTCCCAGGTGAATCAGCGCCTCCTGCAGGACAGAGGTTAGGTTGGTGTGGTGAAGTTGTGGATCAAGAACGGTGGCTCCCAACCTTTCTTGTCTGAACTACCATCATAGCCAAATGTGTTCATGTGAAGTGATTTTAAAGTCGATGTTATTCAACACTCATTATATAAAAGTTGTTATTGTTAACAATAGTGTTTATATACAATTAAATAGACAGTTTGGTCAAGTTTTCATTGGTGCTACTAACACTTGGAGTGACAAAAGCTCAATCTTTCAACCATTTATTCATTACTTTTAGCTATTTCAACCACTATCACTGATCAAGCAATTTATATTAACCATTGTTTCTGCACCTTAAGCTACCTACTTTAACGGTTTATGCTACTTTTGATAACTATTTTTAACTGTTTATCTAGTTCATCAAGCATTGTCTATTTCAACCATGTATCCATTACTTTTAATTATTGTTTAGACTTGTCTGTTTGGTTGCTAATAAGTTACAGTTTTTTGCTTATGACTTTTTTTATTATTGTTTGTTTGGTTGTTTGTTTCCAAATTAGTTGAGCTACTCAATTTTCCATGTACTCCTGGAATTAAAGATCTAGACAACTAGACTTAACCCTTCTGCTCAACCATTTGTCAGAGCACATTTTGAGTCACTACATCTTAATGAAAAATGTTTTGAACTTAATTTCACCTAACTGAGCTATCGCTACTATTTGATATAGGTATGTTATGCTGTTAAAAATCCACTAGATGTCGCTGTGTCTTTAAATAATATGCCTTTTAAATGTGTTTCCTACAGGAAGTTAGTAACAAGAAAACTCATTCCAGACATGTGGGCTCTGTGTGTTGGATTTTCGTAGGTGGGCATATATCTTCAATATCTTATAGTTTCAGAGGTCTTACTGAACAGATTTAAGTGACTTATTACAAAAATTAAAAGTCCAGTAAAGGTCAAGTCATTTTTTAAAAACATGCTCTACCAATCTGTTCATTTGTCCTTTTATGGTGAAGGTAATGAAGCTAAGCTAATGTAATTAGAATTTACTATTTGCTAAAAAAAAAAAAAAAAAAACTTTTTATTCATTTTTGTTTAATGATATATTTAATGTTATACATTATATATATGCTGAAAACAATTTGCAAGTATGATTTTTTTTTTACCGTCTAAAGCCATGGTCAACCAAACAGCTGATTGCCTGTTTATGGTAAAGATAGCAATGCTGAGATAATAAATTCACAATTTCAGCAAATAAAAAAAAAGATGAATATTCACTGTTGTTAATACCATACACTTAATGTTATTCCATTATATATTTGATGAAAAAAAATATTAGTAAGATTTTTCACCATATCTGAGATGTTTTCAAAGTACTGTAATGTTAAATATCGAGAATGAATCTGTGTAAATAACACTAGTACTGGTAATACTTATAATGCCATGGTAACCCATTGACACATGTTGGTATACTACATATTACAAGTATTATAACAAAACATGGGTTGTAATTTAAATTTTTCTTTCTGTTTTACACATAGCATGAAGTAATCTATCAACCGTTTGGTGTAGGCTTATATTTAAAAAACTATGGGGTCACATTGCAAAAATAGTAGCCATAATGAAATATGGTGTGTGGACATTAAAGGGTTAAAAACACTGGAGCGTTTCCCATGTTGACCCCCACAATCAAAGCTGAGTGAAGAAAAATCATAGAGATAAGATGGAAAATAAAACATACTTACTGAACTTGGACCGACCCAGAAGTTTTGTTGTTGCACAAACTTAACATTTTCATAAACTCCCTTGTTCCTCAAGACCTCAAAAAAGAAAAGGGAAAAGCAGTATTACTAACATTGCTCAATCATATGTTTTAACTGGAAGTTCACCCCAAATTCTTTAGCAAAAATATATCAATCTATTTATTATAACAGCCGTATAAAATGTACTTACAGAGTCAACAGTTTCATGTTGGGTGAAGCCCACAGGAGCAATGCCGTAGATGGTGACAGCCAGGATGGTGATGAGCAGATGGACACATGTGATCCAGTAGGTAAAGAAAGGCCTAGAGACGACAGACAAAAAATTCAGCCTCCATCATCTGGGACGTGGACAGTCATCCCCCACGGGAAACAGAATGGGCTGTCCTACCTGTGATCGTCCATGTCCTCAATCTGTCTTTTGACGAAGCTGTCGATGCGTTTGCGGTACGTCCGGTTTGTGAGACGACCCACCATGCCGAGCCCGTAGGGCCTCTTCTCTTTTGCAAACAGTTTCTTAACGGGAACCACAATCCTTTGTCCGCGCTGCTGATGGCTGTTGACACTTACTACTTCCTGTTTCAGACGCACCTTCGGTTGGACCAGAGAGCCTTCTTTTGCCTTCCGCCAGCCTCGCTCTAAGGGCCTGGATGGAGGGAAAGGAAAGTGAGAGAAAGCATGTTGGGCATGGTATTATAATACAGCACATAACATTATCAGGCAGTATGATGCAAAGGTTGGGAGCTTGTCCTGTCACGTCTCCCCTGCAGCATGTCAGAGGTTCATGTTTGCGTATAACAAACATAAACCCACAGCATGAGGTGACTCCTCTCCAGTTCATTCTTGTCCAGCGCACTTCCCGTGAGCTCGCTCTCATCCAAATGTTTGAGGTCGGCCTCTGATGGTGTCTCGAAGACTTCATCGGCATAGCTGGACAACTCGTCATGCAGGCCTTCCTACAAAGATGAAAACTAATTAAGTAGGAATTCAGGGTACAAGATTGTGCTTTAGGCCAACACATTATGGCTTGCAGTGTGTGTAAGTGTGTCCACTGCTCACTCTGGTGAAGAAGGAAGTATCGAGATCATCAGCGAAGTCCACGGTGTCGTCTTCAAAGAAACTAGGAGGCATGAAACTCCGTCTGCGAGATCGCCCGGCGGTGCTGTCCCCTAATGTGCGGCCCTAACAAGCAGAACAACACGCACAAACATCATCATCATCAGACAGAGGTGCAATGATGCCTAACAGTTTTTCTGGGGGAGTCTCCTACTGAACTTGTTACCTCCTTAGTCTGATGGTTGTGTGTCAGTAGATCAGCAGATAGCTGAGCATTCAGTGTGTGTATTACCATGGACCATCTGCTAGTGGGACCCGGTGACCCCCACACAACACACACTCGCAGATACTCTCACTCAACATTTATCCCTTCATATGGGCAAGTCTGTAGCCAGTGGACCACATACAGAGAGCCATGTCTACTGTACTGAATGAATACTGAATATAATGGATGTTGTTTTTCTATGAATCTCTTCACAAAAACATAAGATAATGGAGATTAAACTGTGCGTGTGCATAACTCAGTGTTTTCTGACACTCCTGAGGCCTGACATAGGGGTACGCCACTTTCCATCCATGCAAAAGTTGTGATCTATTAAAACAAACTTGATGGGAGAATGTGTGCACCTGCAGGGAAAGTCTGAAACATTTTGGAGACACAGGAAATTGGTGATGCAGATGATGAGATGGTGAATTGAAGCCAGATTGTAGAAATTAATTGTGAGAAGAATCACTGTAAATTTAATGATGCCTGTCACATATATAAATGCACTTCATATCACCTGTTACTTATACATTCACTTTATCACAAACATTCAGTCCAGCCATTTTATGTGCTTGTGCTAGTGAGCCGTAACTTTCCATAAGCACCTTTGAGTTTTAAAAATCATTATAAGATTATGGTGGTGTCGCCTCACAGCAAGAGGGTTCCTGGTTTGAAGCCAGGGTGGGGGAGCCCCTCCGTGCGGAGTTTGCATGTTCTCCCTGTGTCAGCGTGGGTTTTCTCCGGGTACTCCGGCTTCCTCCCACAGTCCAAACAGTTGTTGTTAGTTAGTTGGTGACTCTAAATTGTCCGTAGGTGTGAATGTGAGTGTGAATGGTTGTCTGTCTCTATGTGTCAGCCCTGTGATAGTCTGGCAACCTGTCCAGGGTGTATCCTGCCTCTCGCCCAATGTCAGCTGCGATGAGGTGCTTTGCATTGAACATTTATAGTTGAATGTGGGCTTGTAGAGTGCGGAATATGAGGCTGATCCATGTGCGGACAATTCCAAGTTGATTTTGGATTTATAAAAATAAATTGTGTACGGTAACGTTTTTTTAAATCAGAGTCATTTTTGGCGCCGGCCACTTTGGACGTCTGCATGTACCCTTTTAGTAGGGATCCTACACACTGCCTCATAAATGAGACCCCTTGTCTTTTAAAGATTTGTTTCAAAACCTATTAAAAGTGTAGTATTGTTACTCTATTAGGCACTGGTTTTGTATTTTGCTCCTAGGAAATACCTCTTATCTTGTATATTTGTATTCCGTCACATATTTAATACCCTAATGTTATAAAATTGAGCCCAGTGAGTGACCCTGTAAATTGTAAAAATTGTGGTTACTGTACTTTGTGTTACTGTAATTCGAAACATTTTGTGGCACAAGAATATCCTTCGGGATAAATAAAGTTCTATTGAATTAAACTGAACTGAATTGAATTGAATTGAACTGAATATATCCTAAACTCAATCTCCTTTTCAGAGAAAAAGATAGTGATGTACTGCTGTTTGTCTGTAATGGAGGACAAATGCCTTTGTATAGCACAGTTACAGCTGGTCCAACTGTGCATTTACGTTTTGCAGAAATGACAAGTAATTTCAGAACAACAGGGGCTCGCAGTAGCTTTGAAGCACAGATTTTGCAAAGCACAGACTATCTGGAAACAAAACTAAAATCTACTGTACAAACAACAATAAAAAAAATAAACAAACACCTTCATCAGTGCTGCCGCAGCCTTGAGGCTCATGACTGCGACAGACTCCCGTTTGCGTCGTCGTGGCACCCGGTTGAGGGCGGAGCGGGAGCTGGAAAAGGAGCAAAGGGACGCAGTGCCGGGCGTGATGGGAGTTTGCGGGACACTAAAGCCGTCTACCTCTTCCACCATGCGGAAGGCACGACCCCGGGCCAGGGGGTCTACGATCTGCGCACACACATACAAACACACACACAGTATGTATGTGTTCACCAAAGCTTTTTTTTTTTCATATTCAATTTTCAAGCCACATACAACAGTAAACACATGGTGAGAGAATAGTGCAAAGCAGGATGAACACATGTCTAAACTAGGGTTAGATTGATGTCACAGATTACCACACTTACCCTTCAGTACTAACATTAGCTGTGTAGTAGCATCATGAGTTTCGGTGGATAGTTGTTGTCAGGAATCATATTTACTAGATATTTCTTGCATAAAATATTCAAAAACGTCTACTCAAAAAAATGCTTCATGAATGAAAAAGTCATCAATTGAACCCTAGGCAAGATGACAGAGCAAAGAGGTAAAGCAAGCGCCGGAAATCTACTGTGAACCAAAGAAAGAGAGTGAAAGAGAAACATGATGGAGGAAAAGGTGAATAATTCTTCAATCTCCTCCTCCATCCTGTAACGTGCCCCTGGCGCCAGCCTACCCTCTGCATGCCATAGTGGTGGTGACTGGGGTGGTGGGGTGGGAGGTAGAGGGGAGGAGGGGTCTCAGTGCTGGCCAGGGAGAGGTTGTCCTGGCTGTGGAGCTCCATCTCCCTCATCACCTGTGGCTTTAGACCCCCGTACAGATGGCTGCAGTGCTGCAGGCTCTTCCTCCTCCATCGCTGGGTGCTGTCGCTGTCTTTGCTCACTCCAAACCAGTCGGCCGTACCCCTGGGGAGAGGACGCACTCTGGTTAGTACGTGAAAATAATAACAACACTGCAGCCATCATTGTCTATTTCATTTAATATTTATACATAATCTATTGTAGCCTTCAGAGAATCCTGACACACACATACAGTACACGCTGACTATTCTTTGACAGTCTGAGCCGTAGATCCCTCCTGATTAACAGATCAACATGATGATGATCTTGATAGATTGCAGCTGCTTGTTGGGGATTAGTCGACTGATTAACTGGATCATTTGTTGATTGCTTTCCTGTCTATACTGATGAGGAGAACCATACATGTACAGAGACGCACAGAGCATCTATAAATGTGAAACCTGACACTTTTTTAGGCACTTTAAATACTAAACATGAGGCCAAGATGCATTGTTTAATACATTTAATACAAAAGAAAAATTTTCAAAACAGCAACAAGACATAAACTTAGACTAGTTTAAGCTACTTGGTAGGGCAAATTTAACAAATTAGATTTATTTTAAATGCAAAAAAAATCATCTTAAACTTTAAATCTGGATGGTAATAAGTAATTAGGTAGTAAAAAATCAAGATAAAACACAGGCTAGCACCAACAGAACACAGTGAGAGCTACAATTAGGTTGCAGCAGGCCTCTTGTGCAACATATCAGACTAAGAAATCATCACTGATTCACCCTACGCTACAATATGTAAATGAAAGCAGATAAAGAAAACAATTTGTAAAATGCCACAAGTGAGCTTTGACGCTTGCAGTTCTATCGTGTGAACAAGGCCAAGGTTGGCTTTAAGTGCAATCCACATGTTAACATATTCCACTGGTATGACAGTAGCATGATGTGTGCATAGCAAGTGTGTGGTCAAGCCACAGATAGAGCAGACAGGTGATGGCGAGCGAAGCAGAGAACAAGTTAGCAGTAAAGTTATTTCGGGTTGACATCTTCTCATCAGCTGGTCAATATGCTTTCATCCGACCAAATTCTCATTGGTTGGGCAATAGCCTGTGTTACATTTATGAGGCGATGTGTCCATCAAAGTGTTTTAATTTCCCTTTTGAAATGCTAGGCGGTGTTGTTCAGCACTTAAGCATGTATGTGACGCTCTTTGTGATTGGACTACTGAGTAAAAAATGACAGTGATGTGCGCAGAGTTCTACCCGATGTTGAACATTTTTCAACTCTCATTTTTCAATTAAAAAAAAAAAAAGATAAATAATCACAGAAGACTTCCAGTGTCAGATTTATCACCATGGATTTATTTTACAAAGTCTCCAAAATGACACCGCAGCCTCTGTTGGACCAGCAGCATGACTAAGGTTACCTTCTGGGCAAAAGAAAGTATGTTTCTCACATGCATTGTTCCAGAGATATTTAGTGTTAGTAGCATCATGTTGTGTATGACATCGACAACGCAGTGTTGTTTCTCTCATCGGTCCTATTCAATGCTTGGTGATGAGACAGACTAGCACACACAGCTCGGCTGGAACAGCTCTGCTTCAGTGATACTGTTTATTTTCAGATAACGCTATAATAGACTGCCCAATCAGACAACTGCATGAGGCTTTCCACTTCCTCGAACACAGAGTTTATTTGACCTGGGCAAGCATTAATGTCAAGCCTTGTAACAGGAAAAATAAGCTTTGGTGGACACGCAACGCTAACAGGTAGAGTGCCATGAGTGCACTGTGGACGATTTAGTTAACCTAGATGTAACGGGCGGAATTTTTCTCCCCATCGATTAATCAATTGGTATAAAAGCAGGTAGATTTTTAGTCACCTAAGATTTTCTTTGGTTAAACTACAGCCATAGTGTTACAGATGTACAGTGGACATTTCAGTTTGTCCATGAATAAACACTGCAGCTCCTCGAGACCCAAGAAAACTTCCAGTGTCCTGCTTCCAAACTTCTGGGTAAAGTTAACAACATGTTTACAACGAGCATGTGGTAGAGCCACGGTCAGTTTGCACAGAGATCAGTAAGATTCATATTTATTTTTCATATAATGATGCTCATTCTTGGCCTGTTGTTCTTTTTTCACATTTTATTAAAGTCATGATGTTATCACACTTTTACAAGACTTGAAGTTGCAATATTTTACTGTGATTAAAGTCTTTTTCAATTCAATAGCTAAATCAAGATATGTTCTTTATATTAATTAATGCACAGAGTCATCTCATTTCATAGTGACATGTACATGACAGAGCAGAGAAGAAAAGAGATCAGGAACACGACAGAGGAAGATAGGAACTTTTAAAAAGGCTTACTAAGTTGCAATATTGGTCTAAAAAATTTCAATTCGATCATTTTCCCAAATCATTCATCTCTTCTCTATCTCTCTATTTCTGTGTGTACATCTCCATGTTTGATTGCATGGACGCTGCCAACCCAGCTTAGAGGGCCTGGATGAAAAATATTGTCTTGATCCTCACACGACCTACTGCCCTCTGTTCAGTCAGTGGTAAAGAAGCAGATGTTGTCCGAGTCCTGCAGTTCATGAACCGACTTGGCTCTGTGTGTGTGTGTGTATTTGTGTTTTCGTCATTTATTCTAAATAAATGTGCATCCAGGTCCCTTTTTTCCTATGAAAGAGCGCCTGCGTGCCAGGCTGAGTGTTAACGGATCAGGAGGGGGGAGGCCACACTGGGGAAACTGTTTAGAGAGCAGAACACTCCGTAATAAACACTCAACCCTCCTCATCAAGAAAGACGCCAGCTGGGGAAGCCTTTTAAGGCTGCACAGGGGCAGGAAGGGGGTGGCGCGGTCCTGACTGTTGTCCTCCCGGAGAGGAATGTCTTCGAGAGAAGACAGGTTTGTGAAAGCAGAGCGAGACGGGAGTCAGACTGGGCCTCTGACAGCAAGGAGGAGGAGGAGAGGAGGTCATACTATGAAAATAAGACCTTTCTCAAATACAGATCTGTTTCAAGATGAACATCCACTACTGACGGTAAAACATGATGCAAACTCTCGCCCACGTTGTGACTCAAGGTCTGTTTCAAGATAGCTGACATTTGTTTGTGTTTGTTTAGAGAAGTGGCTGTTTGTCTGTGTGCGCACATGCACCGACACGCGTGCATGTCATATTCGCCCACACAAAACCATAAATAAAATATTCACGACTGGTTGACGACAGCACAAATCCAACACCAATCAAAGATTAAAGCTGATGTTAAGCCACATGAATTAGCTTTCCTATCCTCGAGGTAAGGCTGGTACACATGCAGCAGCAATCTACTGTAGCATAATTATAGGCTTAGACAGCACTCATTTCATCAGGGAGAAAAGGCCAGGGGGCAGAACTACTACAATCTAAACAAATCCTATCAGTAAACAGAGCATAAAGAGACGATAAGTATGAGCACTGAAGATAAGAATTGAGTTTTCTGATTGGACAAATCCATCAATGGAAGGTTATAGTGTTACTTCAGTACTGTATTGTAAAGGAACCTCATTTAAGGGCACAAATGTCAGGTTCACAGTCACTGAATAGGGTTGGATGGTCCTTGTGGTTCCTGCTTCCTGCTACCACAGTGATGGAAAATAACAACACCACTGCCCTTCTGAATGGCTCATTTCACTTTAAAATACTCCAGGAAGGTTCACTTGACAAGTCAAAAGTAATATGCACTTTGTGTCAAACAGAATAAAAGTATCACCGAAGTACTTCAAGTTTGAGACACCACCTACGAGCTGAGCACTCAGGTGCAGCTACTCAGGCTGATGTCAGTGAGCAACAGCATCGCCAAAGCCAGCAAAGCACTACTGTACAAATTGCCTCAGACCGGTGGATGAAACTAACTCGAAGACGTTAACTACAGCCCTTTATAAATGGGTGAGAACTGACTGCAGACCAGTCAACATCATGGAAGACGCAGGTCTAAGGAACGTACTCAGGTTGGTATGCTGTTCCAGTCATACGCCATACCGTCGTGGGGAACCATAGTTTAGATAGATTCTTAGGACCTCTAAGAATCAGAGAAAGCAACTAAAGTGGAACTCCTGAAAAGTGCAAAGGGCTCATTGGACTTCAGTGAGTACTCAATTGTCTGAGAGCAACTGTACACCATATTGACGCTGATTGCACACTGTACTCCTTCGCTCTAATGGTTGGACTATGCAAAAACATGTGCCCCAAAACCCAGGAAAAAAACCCTGCAATTCACAGAATAAGCAGATAGTCTCCTATCTCTAAGTCATGGTTTCAAGACCACACTGTTGTATCAGTGCCGCCCTGATTCATAAGAAATAAATGTGAAAGACAAAATCATAAAGTAAACTTCTTTGCATTCATTCGATTCCCAATAAAGAAACTCTGGGAAGACCTGCTTCAACTTGTTCATATAGATTTTAAAACTGTTTTGAAATGCAAAATAATGGAATTTTAAACATGCCATTAAAAAAAGTGATTAACCGTGACTAACTAATGAAATTCAGCGACTAACTGCGGTTAAAAAAAAATAAGAGTATGACAGCCCTAATTCAATTATATCTGGGACCACATGGGGTAATTTAGTGTCATTCTGATCTAAGTGCTGTTTCACACCCTGACAAAAAGAAAAAACTCCCACGGAAAGTCAGAATATTTGTCTTTGTGCACAACAATTATCCAAATTAAAAATCTTACTTGTTATGACATGTTCGTTTGAAGTGACTTCAGCCCCAAACCATCTATATCAATTAAATAAAACATGCAAAAATGCCCATGTTTATCTATTACACTGTCACCAACAATATATTAGGTATATAAAATCAGCCCCATTATTACCAGCTCCAACACACATGCTAACGCCTTAATATACAGTTAGGCATAGAGAAATATACGGTATAATATACAATGTCACAATAACAGGGCCCCTTCTGCTACACAGGTAGTTCTACTTCTGTTATGCACATTTCTTCTCATCTAACTCTTTGTCACCAGGCAAATTAGCGTATTTCCAAAATGTCAAACTATTCCTTTTAAGTTTCTGAATACTACATTCCAGAGGTGGGACCAAGTCATGGTTTTGCAAGTCACAAGTAAGTCTTGAACATTTACACTCAAGTCCCAAGTCAAGACAGACAAGTCCCAAAGCCTCAACTTTACGCTTTGAGTCCTAAACAAGTCCTAATGCACTCTTTACCAAATGTAATGCCATTTCAACAACAGAGTAATAGCATTAGCTAAACATTAGTTTGCTAACTATGTTAATATCAGCCTCAACTTACAGTTCTTTCTGCAGCTTCAAATGCCGAACAAAGTTGAAAGTTGTTGCGTCTCCGTCTCTAATTAGCTAGTTAACTTTTGTATGTGAACAACCACAGTTCCTCATGGTTCTCTCCTGCAACTTGATTGGATGCTGTTGGATTGGTGTTGACTTGCTGGGAATGACTTGTACTGACGTTAGCTGATCCAGGAAATAAAGGGAAATTAACTGATTCATGACACACATTTTACTTAACATAGTTTTTAATCCTTGGGCTTGGGGCGAGGGTCAAGTATTTCCAGGATGAAAGGTTCAAGTCCAAGTCAAGTCACAAGTCTGTTTTTGATTCTGTCAAGTCGAGTCTAAAGTCATCAAATTTGTGACTCAGGTCTGACCCACATCGTCTACATTCCCCACTGCTAAAAGAGAGCGCAGATTTACGTGCAATCATATATCATAGTTTTGTACAACCTAAAACATGCACAGATTTTAAAATATGATCAACCAGTCTCAACTAACTCTTATATTCTACATATCTTAAGTAACCCTAGACCCTCCAAAAGGAGAAATACATCAACTGGGGCTTTGTGCAACATTTCCATCCACACTCACCTGTCCAGAGAGCTCCAGGAGGGGTTCAGGGTCTGGGTCATACCTGAGGGGGGCAGGCACTGTGGAGCTGGATAGCCTCCATCACCTGCATCTCTAACACGTTGTCCCCATGTACCCCCGCACCAGTACTAAACCCTGATCCACTGAAAGCAAACTGATCCTCCGCGGATCACGCATAGTGTTCCATAAGGGGATTTCCCGATGTATCCAGGCCAGCGGTACCTTGTAACACTCGCTGTTATGCAAAGAGATCACCACATGTCCAGACTCTGTGCAACATCCCTGTCCTGCTCAGCAAACTCCCAGTCAATCAAAGGTTAGAGGAAAGCCGGCGCTGATCTCTTCAGTCAGACGGGAATCTGATCCCTACGATGAGATGTAAAGAGGACTCCCAGTCTTCCACCAGCTGGACTCGCTCATTCAGGATCTTAAATTTTCTGACCTTGTATCACCGACACACAAACACAAGTTCCCATACGCCTGTGTACGTGTGAGAGAGTGTGTGAATGTGTCAGCGCCTGGCAGGCCTCCCAGTATCCCTCCCCGAGAGTTCGCGTAAAAGGATGTGACCTACTGGGCAAAGAAGACAGCCGCTCTGGTCCTTGTCAAACTGAACATCCCCCCCATTCAGAGCCCCGGCGATCACTATCAATGAGCCCCTTCTCTCTGTTTCCCTGCCTGAGTATGTCTAAACACCAGCACTCCACAGGAAATGGGAGATTAGAAGGGAGAGGAGAACGATGGGACATCATACACACATTAGGAGGGAGGAGAGATGGAGGGAGGGCACTGGGACATGCCTGGACACAACACACATACATACACACTCATACAGTGGAGCAGTGCTTCAAACCCCACCTTGTTTTACAGCTATATATTCCTGTCAGTAGTTAAAAGAAGCCCAATGGAGCGTGTGAACCTCGGTTCAAACACCTATCATTACAAGTATCAGTGTGATTAAGATAAATTATTAACTCTGTCAGAATTAATGGCTCCTTAACATGAAAAATGACTCACAGAGCTTTTTATTTTCTTTTGTCGTCCAAAAGATCAACAAACATCAGGGTGTCCTCCTAGTTACCCTACAAGTTTGCAGCAAATCACCCCCCGACAACACTTCGTTTGAAGAATAAAGATTTATCCTGTATTTGTGCATTCTTCTGAGGAAGAGGTACCTCGGCTAACCTCCCATACACACACACACACACGCCCAAACTTTCTCCAAATCCCATTAATTCTCTCATAAACATCAAACGCATTAATTCAGTTTCCCTCTCACACACACATGCAAGCCTGGTAAACCTCGGCATGATAAAGTTAAGACATTAAGACACTCCTTTGAAGTCGGTGTCTCTCGGTTTTAGTCTTGGCCCCCGTGTTCAAACATTTACATTCAATTGAACGCTTTGATGTGGCCCACATGCTGCGTGAGGCACATAGATAGTCCGTGTGAGTAATTGTGTTATTGTCTGCCTTGAACCATGTGGTCCTGTGTGCCACCTGGACTGATACTGATACACTGAGTGTGTGTGAGAGCTTATGTGTCATAGACTTTGTTCAAAGCGTCACATCTGTGGCACAAAGAGACTCCAACATCCTAATAGGACTTTTGTGTAAAACTCGGTCCCTACAGACATAAAGGGGGAGAGGTGTTGGAAACACAGTATGTTTTTGCTGCAGTTACGCCCTGTTTTATGAGCTGACAACATATACTGTAGTCTGTTTTAAAGGGATAGTTCACCCCAAAACCCGAAACACATATTCTTCCTCTAACCTGTAGAAATACTTCACAATCCATAGTTTTTTGGCTTGCGTTGCCAAGTGTTGGAGATATCGTGCGTAGAGATGTCTGCCTTGTGCAGTTTCATGTAGGCACTATTTTCTTTCTACCAAACTACACCTGCCAACTGTATCACTGCACAGAAGGAAGTGTACATCTACTCATGGACAAGAGGCTCATGCTCAGGACAACAAAAGATGCAAACATTAATGGCATCCTCCCTTGCTAAGCTTTAACGTTAGCTCAGTAGCATGCCTCCTTCTGTCCATTCAGTTATATTGGAGACAAGGCCGGTATCTTCAACACTCTGCAACTCGCATCAAAATCATCTAGATTGATAAACAGCATGACAGATAAAAGTAGTTTGATTTTGGGGTGAACTGTCCCTTTAAAGCTGCATTCACTTATTATATTATATTATTTTGGCTACTTGGAGGCAGTTGTAACCAAACCATTACCTATTTACACATCAAGCAGATATGGAGCACATTTATTTGGAGCCGTATTTCTGGCCACCTGATCAATTTAAGTCCAAAATTCATTCTCTTTTTTGCTCTGTTTTGGTTTCCACCAACTTCTCATTCTATGCTAAATGCTCCACTATGTTGGACAGCTTTGTCAGTCTGCTGTCTGGTGTTGAGCATAAAGTGAAAACATCATTGTGAGCGTGAATCAAAACGTTAAAGTTGCGGGCAGTGAAACCAATATAATGAGCTGAGTTAAGTTAAAACACTCGACAGAGCTGAAGGTACCTGCAGGGGTGGGTTTTCATTTTCAATGGGAAGTTACAAGGGGCAATATCTGGTACTGAAAAATGGAGCCAACGTGGAGGTGCCAAAAAACTGAATGGCTACTTGAGGCTGTCAGTCCCCATTTACCCCCCAAGTTAAAATTTCTGCCTTTACAGCAGAAATAAATATGTTTTTTTATACAACTCACATGTTTATATTTTATTAAGGCTTAAAATTATGCATAATTAAGGCGTGGGCACTTTGAGTGACAGGAGGGTGCTATCCATTGACACACACTGATAACCTAATCCATAACCCACGTCCATATTTTTTTTTTTTCTTCACTTTTTTTTTGGTCACCACAAGCCACCCCCTTTCATATTACACACTGCCATTTGATATATTGTTTTCATTAAAAAAAAACAAAACTGCTTAAATATTTCTAGTTGAAAATGTGGTCATTAAAATATCACCACAACCAAAAAAAGCCCAGAGATGTGAGCTTTTACACTCGCTATTTTCAACAGTGCTTAAGAAAATTTTATTTCCTTTTATGTTTTTGGGTGCTTTTTCTCATCATCTTGATGGCTGGAATATACTTGAACAACCAGTTCCCCTTTTATCTCGCCTTAAGTAGCTTTAAGGTTGGAAACATCATCTTATTTCACATTGTCTGACAAAATTATATAAAACCTGAAGACTATTTTCACTATGAGTGTACCATTCCTTCTATCAAATTAAAATATTCTCGATGTCTTATGTATTATTCCATTCACACTTTATTCACACACTTGTGTACTATTTCATTCACACACCTTGTATATTTTATACCTTTGGAAACCTTTGGCTCATCACTAGAATTTTAAGTAAATTACTATCCTTGTGAAATGACATTGACATTGCTGTGAACTGCTAAATTTTAAATCCACTCATCCAGTTTAAAAAAATCTGTGACAGCTCCAGGGTATGCCAAATAAGTTTTACAACATAGTGCTTCAAAGAGAAATTTCAGGGGCACCTTCACATCCCTGCTCCACCTCTCCTGTACCTGATGATCTGTTTGGGTATCGATGAACGCCGTCGGGTCAGTATTTTGGGGATGCAGGACCGCCTTCGGACGGTTGACACCCTCCTGGGCTCCCTCTGGCCCTTTGGGGGAACTGTGTTGACCCGCTCAAAGCGCACCCTTTTCTCACTTAACGCACAGTGCAGTGCAGCATGTAGAGAAGAGCACAGGGGGCCGGTGAGGGGAAAGCCAAAGAATGAAGGAAGGAGAAGAGAAAAATCAAATAAAAGGGAGGATAAGAGAGAAGAAAAGAGGGCAAGATTAATTTATGTTAAATCAGAGAGGAGGCTGCAGCTTAAATTAGTTCTGTTAAAGATTTATTAGTGGAGAAGAATTATAGGGATTAAAATACGACAGGCTGAAGTCAGAAGAAAATTAGCAGCTGGAGGAAATCAGTGGAGAGGAAAAAAAGAGACGTTATGTTGAGTGTGAGTGTGTGTGTGTTTCTAACCTCTTGATGGACTGTGTGAAGGAGGGCAATCTCTCTGGAGGAGGTCTGAGGTAGTTGTTGGAAGTTTCCAGGGCAGCAATGCAGGTCTGAGGGTTTTCACCTGGCATGCTGACACTGCGCAGGCGCTTTACTGGCTGCTACACACACACACACACACACACACACACACACACATACACACAAACAGATTATGCCCACTGAGCCCAGTTTATGTGAATGTTAACAAAGTAAAAGTCTACGAAATAATCACACAAAAGCTTTATGTCAAACTTAACTTGACCTGTATTCGTCTCTTGTTATTACCTGGGTGAGTGTGGGCGTGTCGTCCGGCGTCAGCTGGATTGTGGGGATGTCCAGTTTGAGCCATGGCGGCTTTTTCCTCTGCAGGCTGCTGTTCCTGCTGCCCGGCTCATCCATGCTCGCTAGCTCCCCCTACGCCTGCCAGCTGGACAACACAAACAGAGGAAATGGGTTTGTAGGACAATAGTCATAATACGCTTCCAGACACATGATGACGGGGAACAATATTTCAGCTATTCAAAGCCAAAAACTGTTGTTGAGTAATTACAGACACTGACAGTGTGCGACAGTAATCCACATCTCCCCATGCTGTCAGCTCAGACAGATCCAATGTGGAGGCAAAATGCCTGAATAAACAAACTGCTTAATCCGGATGTTTAAAGCTACTGGTCTGCCAGCCGTATAAGGCAGAGTGACAGTATCGACAATGAACATGTCTAAATTGACCCCATGGACCCGGTGATTTGTGCCTATTGATCGTACAGTCCTGTCATCAGTGCACCATGCAGCCAGGGGCTTCACCCTGAATGATACAAGTTCTTTGAAAGTCATAATTTATGTATTAATAGAAGGACATTTGGTTTTTTAACTAATTAAAAAAACATATGGATTTAATTTTGAATAACAGCTTATTTGCTCAGTGAACACAGCCAGATGCTGTCTTCATTAAGATGCTCTTATTTGAGGAAGTCTATAATTTAACAACTTGGAAATGTATCTAAATATAAACCTTAATTTAATATGAATCCAGGTGGAGCCAATGTGTGTAACGAGCACCACAGCTGCACTGACATCTGTTTGGTCTCCCTCAGCAGTGACAAAGTCTTTCTGCTCTGAATCATGTAGAATCTCACAGATGAACCATTTCTCCCGTTCAGTCCGGGGTATTGTCGGAGTGGCTGCGATTCATTAGTCGTTCAACATGCCCTTATTGGATTCACCACAGCACTTGCCCTCCAGGGAAATCCCCACCGCCATTAAGTGTTTCATTTGACTGAAAAAAACTGAGGTGAATATGAGTGAGATTAACCCTAGGAGTGCTGAGGGAACGAGTCAACAACGATGGTCACTCCAGATGTGTATGTTACCCACAATGCATTGAGTGCATAAAGCTCTGGAAGATAAATAAATTGGAAAATAAATTCACTATTTGACATGCTTCTCAGTTTCAGTTTAATGCATCCCATAGGTCTCTATGGTTAGGCTTACATGTGTGTAGGTTCATTCGCCTATTAGCAGATAGTTTCTTAAGAAAGTATCATGGACAGTTTGATATTTTACTAAACATAACTATTTGCATTTAATATTTACTTTATATATACTACTTGATTTAAACTTTCTCACTCTTGAAAATAAAACTTAGACTGTTATGTAAGGTCAACCACCCGAATGGATGACTGCTTGTTTTCTTAGCCCTTTAGCATCTCACAGTCAATGTTTTGCTTCAAGTCTTGGTGTGATTTTTGACAACTCCTTCAAATTTCCTAAAGAAATCAACTCAGTTGTCAAAACTGGCTTTCTTCCATTAAGACTTTTAGCCAAGGTAACAACCTACGTTACTCATGCTTTTATTACCTCTCGGATAGAATATTTTCTTTGTATATGGGTGTGGATCAGCAGTCACATTGTCATCTGCAGTTAGTACAAAATGCAGCCTCTTGTCTTCTAACTGGAAAAAGAAAGCGGGATCACATAACACCAGTATTGGCCTCCCTCCACTGGTTTCCTATCTGTTTTTGGATTGATTTTAAGATTTTATTGCTAATCTTTAAGGTTTAAAATGGTCTGGTGCAACCTTGTTTAGCAGAACTGCTGTATTTTCATACTCCAGTTAGAGCACTGATGTCGACCGATCAGACGCTCCTGAACGTTCCCAGAAGTAGGCCCAAAAACTGTCATGACCAAGCCTTTGCAGCGGCTGCCTCTAACCTCTGGAACAGCTTACATATACAAATAAAAGCTGCTCCGATAATAGAAACCTTTAAGTCGCTACTGAAGACCCAACCCATTTTATTACTATATGACTGCCTCCGGAAGAAGAGCGGAAGAGCCCTGGTTTCCGGTTGTAGGCTGTTTGTAGTCCGCGTGATATTGACCAATCACGTTTGAGCCGGCTGCAGTTTTTGCCAGGTTAAACGTTCCTTTTTGTGAATTAATGAGGCGTAACATAATTGGCGTCACTGCAAACTCTGAATCCATCGCAATGGTTCAGCATATTTACTTATATATAAACGGAAGTTGGAAACGGAAACTTGCTTCCTCCGCCCAAATCAAACCGAAATGCCAAAAAATCGGGGGTCTGCCCCCAGAGGCTGAATCGCCGTCTGCTGGAAGTCAGATGCCGAATACAGCCAGTGGGTTCCAAGAATGGCATACAACTCATCTGAATCTGATGACTTAAATTGATTTCATCCTCCGTTGTGCTGCAATTTGCTCTGTTTATTCTGTCTTCTCTTCCTTTTGTTTTTTGCTTCTGTATTTAGCAAACAGTTGTTGTATTCTACGACTATTCAAAACTGCGGTTGTTTTCAGATGTGCTCTACCAATAAAGTTTGACTTGACTTGACTTGACTTGACTTGCTTAGACAGTGGTACTGTTCAGCATGTGTGACTTCTTTATCCCCAACATCATCTGTAAATGCATGGAAAACTTTATAAAGGATTTTATAAACCTGTAGCAATAATAGCTACAATAATCATGATACAGATCACAAACGGGAATTTCTATGTTAGAAAGTGATAATAACTGTAATAACCATGTGCCTGCTGACGTACTGCATTGAATTATCTGCAGAAGATGCCTTTAGCTATATCTTGTGAAAGGCGGTACAGCGCTAATCCTGCAATTATCGGTCAATCGTGTAGCATTTAAATGCCCCACCCATTTTGCCGTTATGTAATAGGGCTGAGGTGGACCTACTACTGAAGAGCAGCCAGTGTGGTTAAAACTTCACTGCTCCAGGTGAGGCTCGAACTCACAACCTCGGCATCACTCTGCAGGATACTGTCTTATAAGTACCGCGCGCTGACCGATTGCGCCACTGGAGCCTCTGAACATTGATGAAGGACTACACCTGACTTGTAAAACTGATTGATGCTCTGATATGACAACAGGAATGAAGCAGTAATCAGGATGGGCTGTTATATATCCACAGCTGGTGGTTCAAAGTATGAGCCAGCGGGTAAAAAGGAAGTGGACTGAGCCAAATGGGCTGTGACTCAATAAAAGAATATGTCTTTAATATTCTGAACAACAGCTTATTTGTTCAAAAAACACAGCAAGATGCTTGAATTCGAAAAAGTCGATTTTTTTGCAATGTGGAAAATTAGCTAAATATAAACCTTAATTTAACATCCATGCATGTAATGAGCAGCACAGCTGAATGACATCTGTTTACTCTCCCTAAACATCCACAGATTCTGTCTGCTGTGATTCATGCATAATAACCTCACACAGATGATCAGCATGTCAGAGCATCTCCTGTGATTGACAGGTCAAGCTAAAGCTATGCTGCTCCAGGTGAGGCTCGAACTCACAACCTCGGCATTGCTCTGCAGGTCACTGTCTTATAAGTACCGCGCGCTGACCGATTGCGCCACTGGAGCCTCTGTGCTGCTGATCATAGAGTGCTGTTGTAGGGACAGTAGTGCAGCTTTAACACCACAAGATGGCACTAGCTATCTCATAGGTAAGGCTCTCTTCTTTCTCTCAGACACACACTCCCCCCCTACGCACACATGCCCTCAATGAACAGAGACAACTATTACTTGCTGTTGAGTGTGCTCACATTCTTTTAAGCAGACTTTAGGGATAAGTAGTCTGAGTGTAGCGGGCCACCTACTAACAGAAAGACAGAGCCTCATAGATCGAACAAGTGAGCTACACAAACAGAGGGAAAGCCACAGAACAGTGTGCCAAAGCCTCCAGTCATCCTGTTGTTTGCTGGTTAATGGGTTTATGGGTAAAGAAGGCATTTGGAGAGTGAAAGGGGTTTTCCTGCTGAACTGTTCCAGTGGAGGTTTAAACAAGACATCTCTCCATCTCTGTGAGAGCCCCTGAGCAGACCAGTGCAAATGAGGCAGTTTGCAGTGCTGCCTTTTTATATAAAGTGCCAACACCAACAATAATCATTTTTTTTCCTGTGGGGTTTTGCATTTGAAAGCTGCTGAGCTGGTCAGGTGAAGCACGCTTCTTACTGTGTCACTGTGTTCCACATAGTAACAATAGCCTTTCATCGTGCACGGAGTAGCTCCTCACTTAATTGTATTAAGTGCTGAGGCTCTGGAATTCACCAGCACTAAAAAAAGGCTCTTTTGATGGCCAACACAAAGTCCAATTGACCATTTCCTCCATTCTCACACGGCACATAATGCTGCTTACAATGATAATGGTGGCACATTTACCACTTGAAATTCTTGGCAATTTCTTAAACAGTGGTTCAATGACTTTGTGACCAATTCTGGACACAGAGGCACATTTCTACCCAATGACTATTCATTTTGTAGCAACTATTGCTGGAAGATTGTATCAGCTGTGGCTAACTAGCTTATTAAACTAAAGTTAGCTCTATGATTTGGTTGAAAACATGGTCCGCAGCTTAAAAAAATGTTTCCAGCTGGCTCTTTTTAAAATGAGAACCCTTTTAAAGAGTCTTAAGCACGTGCTTTGTGGCTATATATATGATGACATGCTAAAATACCGAGGCTAAAGCTGCATGTCTCAGGCAAGAAGTTAACATCTTGTAGATTAGAACAGTGGTTTCCAACTGGTCCAGCCACAGGCTTCAGATTTCTCAGCGTCATACTTGTGTTTGGCCATGTTGTCCAGTCAGTTTGCTGTAGAAGACATGGAAATAAATAAACACTGTTGTTCTTATATTGCAGTGTAGAGCTGAAGTCCAAATTTTATAATAAGCATAAATGTAAGACTACATTATTTAGTGAACAACGTTTAAGCAAATGTAACTCTATCTGAGATAATCAGTTTGGTCCGGGTTGTAAATCCAAAACAAAGGAAGGTGGAACCGCTAATGTTAGTCTAAACTCCAATAGCATCTGGGACCAGATTTCACATGGGGTAAATATTACACAGTGGAACACGGCTGTACTTAATATAAACACTAACTCCACCAAATGCAGTTAGCT